TCCTGCAGGGGGTGGCTGGCTGTGGGGATGTGAGGAGCGGCCAGTGCAGGGGGCCCGCGGTGGGAGGCGGCTGCCCAAGGGCCCCGGGTTCCCTGCCCCCCTCATCCACCTGCAGCCGGAGCCCAGCTGGTCAAGTCAGGGGCCCCGGAGTCCCAGGGCCGTGGGAGGCCGTGCTCCCGGTGGGTTGGGGCTGGAAGCCGAGGGCAGCCCCTCTTGGCCCCTAGGGACACCCGGCTCCAGAGGACACGCCAGTCTCGCGTAGCCTCTTGCTTTACGTCCGAGGGACCCAAACGGAGGCCTTGGGGCCTCTCCTCCTCTGCGGCCCAGCAGCCGGGCAGGAAAGGCTGCGGCCCCCACAGGGGCTGTCCATCAGGGCCCCCCACAGGGGCTGCCCATTAGTGACCCCAACAGGGGGCTGCCCATCAGGGCCCCCTCTCCTCCACGGGGAGCACTTCATCCGGGCACAGCCCCTAGTCCAGGAGGCGCACATGACTCAAGAAGACCCATCGGCCCTGGCTGGTCTGGCTCAGTGGATAGAGCGTCAGCCTGCGGACTGAAAGGTCCTGGGTTCGATTCCAGTCCAGGGCATGTGCCGGGTTGCAGGCTTGATCTCCAGTAGGGGGCGTGCAGGAGGCAGCTGATCCATGATTCTCTCTCATCATTGATGTTTCTTTTCTTTTTTTAAAATATTTTTATTGATTTCAGAGAGGAAGGGAGAGGGAGAGAGAGATGGAAACATCCTCCTGGGATTCAAGCCGTATCCCTGGCACATGCCCTTGGCCGGATCGAACTCAGGACTCCTCAGTCTGCAGGCCGACAACGCTCTATCCACTGAGCCAGACCAGCCAGGGCATCATTGATGTTTCTCTCTCTCCCTCTCCCTTTGTCTTTGAAATCAATAAAAAATTATTTAAAAAAAACAACAAAAAAGACCAAGTGGAGCTCATGGCCTCACTGGCCTAGAGGCGCCCTCTCCTGGGACTGGGACCCTGAGGGTGGCGGCTCAGGCCACCGTCTTGTCCTGGGAGGTGAGAACCTTCCTGCACAGGGGTCAGGAGCAGGCAGAGCTGAGAGGGGAGGGGGGCGATCTGGAGAGGGGATCTGGGCTGCTGGATCCAGCCGAGCCTGAAGTCCGTAAGCCCTCGGGCTGAGTCTGTGTTCTGGCGAATGCCCCCCTCTTTGGGGTCCCCCCCCAGGGCTCGGTGTCCCAGCATTAGGAGGCCTCGGGGGGCCTGCGCTGCGAGGCCGCTGGCTTCCGGGCACAGACCGGGACCCTCACTCACCGCATCATGGCATAGGTCACCTCAAGCTGCTTCGTTTTATTTTTCTCGAACGTCGCGGTGAAAGGGCTCAGCAGGGGCCTGTCCGCCGGGCTGTGGGTGCTGCCTGCCAGGCCCAGCACGAACCACTCCCCCTGAAACTACAGGCAGCTAGACTGGCAGAGCCCGGAGGCCGAGCCCCGCTGCAGGCCGGGCCCCCCGTGGGCTGCACCACGGAGGCTGGGAGCTGGGGGCCCCTTGGGCCGGCAAGGCAGGGACTCTGGGCAGCCGTGGCCTCTCTGAGGGACTGGGGTGGTCCCTTCGCGGGGACCGTCCGGGATGGAGCACGGGGTGCGGCCCCCGGAGCGCTGGCCTCCGGTTGGAGCTCAGGGGTGGCCACGGGGAAGGGGGGTTCTGAGAGCCGGTCCCGTTTGTGCAGGGCTGGCTGATCTGGACCCCCAGGCCTTGCCCATGCCAGCAGGGCCTGCCTCTCCCTGCATCCTGCCCGCTGCCGCCCCCTGGCGCCCCTCCAACCTTGTCCACCTCGAAGCCCTGTCAGCAGGTCGTTATCTCCCGACCCGCAGCCCCCCTGGGGGTACAGCTCCATCCCCAGGCCTGGCCGCAGGGGATTGGGTGCAGGCGCTGGGGGTGCTGGGGCGGGCCCTCCTCAGATCTGCCCACTAAAGATGGGGGGCACCTGGGTCCTGCTCGGGGAGGGAGGTGCCTCCCAGGTCCCTGGTCCTGGCCTTCTCCTGAACACGGTCCCCCCAAGTCCCCCCAGCTCCGACCCCCCTTCCAAGCGCCAGGCCTGTGCCAGGGTGGAGGACAGAACGCACCAGGCCAGGGACATGGCCCTCGAGTCCCAAGGTGCCAGAGCCACGGTGTTCTTGCTGCAGGGACACTGTGCAGTGCCCGGCCTGCCGCACCCACGCTGCCCGCACGCCCCAACCAGAAATGTGGGACAGG